TAGTTCTGAACCCTCTAGTAATAAGTTATAAGAAATATATATACTGGAAGTTATTTATGCGTTTTATTAGAGTCTGACTCACGTCCTCTATAATCCTTTCCTTTTCCTTTTATTTCTATTTTTATATTTTTTTTTTAGAATTGGGGGGAAATATTCCCACAACCTCTACTTTTAGAGGTTCTTAAATATCTTCTCCTGAAACACTTAATTATGTATTTTTTTGTTATATTTCATAAATAAATAATTTTTTAATTGTTTTTACAACGGACTATGAGACTTACCATCCTTTGACTTCCCTCTCCACAGTTGAAGAAATATCCTTGAAAATCTGGGAAACAAATCAGTTTAAAATTAGTGGTCGCTATTGAAGGAAGGTCAAACTGGAGGTCGGATATATGTGTCAATATCAGCACATGATGAATGAGTTGGCAAAAAAGGGAAAACATGTCTGATAACTTAAAATAAGTGAATTAAAGGAAAAAAAGTGGTATTTTCCCATATTTTCTGAAGTCATGGAGGTCAAAATAGAGGTCAATGACCTCCAATCTAAAATTTTCTTCGTGATGGGTGTAGACGACCAAAATTAAAGGCTGCATGCAATAATTCAGCCTTCTATCTGAATTTTTAGGACCAAACGCAGCCTTTACAAAATTTGGTGTCACAAAGTGTCAAAGTGCTACCCCCCCCTTTCTTTAGCCAACACCATTCAACGACACGAGGGTAAAAATGTTATATAATACAATATAATTTAATAAACTGTATGTATATATATTCATAGGTAGTTATTCATTTTAATCAATTTTGGTTTATAACAAATTTATGATGTTTACGAATATGAAAAAAAAATATCCGCGTTCAGAACTTCTTATTAAAATCATCAGTGTCCGAATTTAATGAATTTGAGCCGCGTACAAAATTCGCAAAAAAAAACGGTTTCAATTGAGCGCCTGCTTAAATCTTAAAACATTGAATACAATTTCAAGTGACAGCAAAAAAATATTTAAATTTGTTTTTTCCTGTAAAGAGAAATAAAGAGGTTGGTGCACCCGGACCTCCAGCTCCCATCACCTTAACAGGGAACAGTCACTTTATTTTTGAAGAATGAATGACTTTTGAAGGAATTAAGGAAGATTCACAAAATATTAAAAAATGAAATGATGGATGAATAAAAGAAAAAATCCTTGACAAATAAATATATGAATTGTTGAATGAACGAAATGATGAATAAATGAATTAGATAATTGCACAAAATGGTTAAAAGACAGAATTAAAGTATTAATGAAAAATAAATAAATGAATAAATGAATGAAAAGTTGAATCTAAAGTGTAAAGATGAATATAAAGTTGAGAAAAGTAGAATTAATGATAAAAAGAAAAATGACATGAATAAAAAAGGATAAATTAATGAAGAAATAAAAGAATGAATAAAATGGATCAATGAATAAATAAACAAATGAATTTATAAACAAATGAATAAATGAACAAATGAAAGGAAGGATGAATGAATGAAAGGATGAATGAAAAAATGAATGAATAAATTAAAGGATGTAAGGATGAATGAATGAATGAATGAATGTATACCTGCCAATATATTTTATGAGGCTGATCTAGAATTCGTCTATTCTTTTTCTCTTTCTTTAACAGGCGTAACGCCTAAAGATGTCAAGGTGTCAGGATGTCAAGATGTCAAGATGTCAAGATGTCAAGATTAAAGGGAATGTTTCCGAATTTATGTAGCTTTACAAACATATTTTGTAACATAGATTGAATTCAGTATTATAATCAGTAATCACGATAACAATAACTGTCTACAATCATTACAAACATTAAGAAAAATGGCTAATATTACTTAATTTAGCTTTAATGAGATGTGGGGTGGGGGGAAGAGGCGCCAGTATCCACAAATAACGAGGAGGGTTACCACAAAAAACAGAGGGATAAATATATCACCTTGAGATGTTTTTCTTCCTTCGGCATACTCCAAAGCAATGATTGAATCTTCTTTGAAGCACTTTCGGAACTCCTTTTAAACCGGTTTTGACAAGGAGAGTCGCCATTTAAAATTTGAACTTTTTTTTAAAAGATGTGAAATCTTTCAGAAGTTGAATTTGATTACCTAATCTGTTAGTTTTAAACAGAACACTGCTAAGCTTAAGCATATCTTGAACAAGTTTATTTGATTGTTTTTTATTAATCACTGATAAAAACTAATTCTTAATCACTTTGTTTTTGTTTGTTTTTTGTTTAGAACAGGTTTTCTTGTTTTGTAAACATCCAGCTGGTTTTGCTGATGAACTCCAACTCTTTCCTGATAATTGAAAATAATAAAATATATATAATATCAATTTAAATAAAATAGTGATTGCTCAGGATCCATTTTATCATGTTGCGGATCTAGATCTTCAATTTNTACACTTGAGATGCAAACGGTATTTCAAGATCCATTTCACTATGTTGCGGATCAAGATCTTTAATTTAAATAAAATAGTGATTGCTCAGCATCCATTTCACTATGTTGCGGATCTAGATCTTCAATTTAAATAAAATAGTGATTGCTCAGGATCCATTTTATCATGTTGCGGATCTAGATCTTGAATTTAAATAAAATAATGATTGCTCAGCATCCATTTCACTATGTTGCGGATCTAGATCTTCAATTAAAATAAAATAGTGATTGCTCAGGATCCATTTTTATCATGTTGCGGATCTAGATCTTTCAATTTAAATAAAATAGTGATTGCTCAGGATCCATTTTATTATGTTGCGGATCTAGATCTTCAATTTAAATAAAATAGTGATTGCTCAGGATCCATTTTTATCATGTTGCGGATCTAGATCTTTCAATTTAAATAAAATAGTGATTGCTCAGGATCCATTTTATTATGTTGCGGATCTAGATCTTCAATTTAAATAAAATAGTGATTGCTCAGGATCCATTTTATCATGTTGCGGATCTAGATCTTCAAATTAAAATAAAATAGTGATTGCTCAAGATCCATTTCACTATGTTGCGGATCAAGATCTTTAATTTAAATAAAATAGTGATTGCTCAGGATCCATTTCACTATGTTGCGGATCTAGATCTTCAATTTAAATAAAATAGCGATTGCTCAGGATCCATTTTATTATGTTGCGGATCTAGATCTTCAATTTAAATAAAATAGTGATTGCTCAGCATCCATTTCACTATGTTGCAGATCTAGATCTTCAATTTAAATAAAATAGTGATTGCTCAGGATCCATTTTATCATGTTGCGGATCTAGATCTGTTTTGTAAACTATGTTACCAACTTATTTTCCATTTTTTTTTTTAAAAAATGAATTTTGTTTGTTTTAAACTGTATGTAAATGTATTACCAACAGTACCTTATAGTGTTGATCGAATTCATGTATTTGACCGTTTTGTCGACGAATTCTATTTCATGTTTTGATGGAATATGAAGATTAAATAAAATTAAACCGATTGATCTAATAACAAATCCATCTGTCAATAATCTATAGGTAAAAAATCAATCAATTTATTAATAAGTTCATCAAACCTTTAAACAATCAATCGATCAATCTTTAAATCCATTGAATGTAAATCAATTCACTAATCAATCAAGTTAACAACTAATCTATCATTCCATCAGTTCATTAAACAGATTCCATTCTACGGTTCATCCATCAGACAATCCATCAATCAACAAATTCATCAATCAATCCATCAATATATCCATCAATCAATCCCTCAACCTAATAATCCATCAATTAATCCATCAATCAAGTAAACCACGTGTCTATCAATCCATTAAGACAGATTCCACCAAACAGTCCATCCACCTATCCATCAATTAATGCATTAGTCCATCAATCCATCAAACATCCATCATACATCCACCAATCAATCAATTTATCTTACCCGTGTTCAGTAATGGCTCGGGCAACATCATCTGGTAAACCGTGTCTCTCGATCAATTTTTCTACAATAATCATTGCTTAATAGATCAATTGAAATCAATTGATCGATTCATTATACTTATCAATTACGAAGAGGACTATCATTAACTAATCTTATTCTCACAATTTGTAATTGATTGATCAATATATTTAGTTAATCAATTCTTTAACCAATTTATTCAATTTTGATAAAACTGTTGAATAGAAATACGTCCCTAAACCCCCAGTTGTGATTTTAAGTAGACCAATTAACATATCATTTATGCAGTGTAGAAATACCCATTTAATTTGGAAGTTAATTTTCAATCAACTAGTAGAACTATTGTCGTCGTCGTATATATCAATACATGGAAACTTGCAGCTTGAAAACGATTGTTCAAATTCAAAACTTAAAAAAGAAAAGTCGTCCTCATTGTATTGATAAAACGCCGACCAATTTATTTGCTTTTTAACAACATTAACTAAAATTTCGTCTTCCAGTTCCGCAGTTTTATGTGTCCCTCTTTAATTGTAATGAATAATTGATAAATACCTGAGGTGATGGAAGCTTCAGGAGATACACTTGAGATGCAAACGGTATTGTCCAGTTCCAGTTGTCCTAATATATACTGTACGGTTAAATATTGTCTTTCAGGAGATACACTAGAGATAAAACCGGTATTATCCAGTTCCAGTTGTCCTAATATATATTGTACGGTTAAATATTGTCTTTCAGGAGATACACTAGAGATAAAACCAGAATTATTCAGTTCCAGTTGTCCTAATATATATTGTATGGTTAAATATCGTCTTTCAGGAGATACACTAGAGATAAAACAAGTATTATCCAGTTCCAGTTGTCCTAATAAATATTGTACAATTTTGTACGGTACACTGTACAATAATGTAAATGAATTGTGTACATTGCATGTACATATATTTTGATCAGTACTATGTACATATTTTGTGTCGAGTACAATGTACAATTACATGCACAATACACATGTTGTTTAAAGTCCAATGTAAAAATATTGAGTACAGTACAATGTACATATATTGTGTAAAATACACTGTACGTAACTTTTGTACACGAATATTGTCCATATATTGTGTAATAATTGTACTGTAACTCAGAGCTACCTGGGGTGTTAAAAACTGGTTTCACAATTCCTTTGTACGACTTATACATTCTAAATACACATTCTAAACATATATCTGAAATAGAAAAAACAGTTATTTGTGATGATCAATAAATGTTCTACATTAATGGCTGAAATAGGAAAAAGTCTGTATGTCAGATTGAACGCATTTGAGAAATGAATTTAACCCTCCATTTCTGTCACTCTCCTTTCACACTTGTTCACTCTCTTCACTTCACTTCACTTTCTCTTCCCTGTTAGATCAAATTTTGACCCCCCCCCCCCTACTTTGGGTGCAGTGGGAGGAGTAAGAATACACACGCCTGTGATTATCGTTGAACACTGAACACTGAGTGTACACTGTACACTGTACACTGTACTCTGTTTTCATCAAAGGATTGCTTCTGGCAGCGTTGTACCACATGGCCCACTACAATATTACAAATAACAATTTAAAAACTATATGCTACCCCCTGGACAATGGAAAAAGATACATTTTTTAAATTAAGCCTTATATACTCAAGTGTTCACATTATGTTTATTTCCTCCACTGTCTCTGTAGCAGAAAAGACACACGTCACATTTGAAAAAAAAAATTTTTAAGATAAATTAAAATTCAAGCAAAATAAAAAATCAGGTGACTTAATAAAGATGTTATTAATAAGTTCCTGAAGAAGAATCCATGTTGACCGATCTGTTGAGTAGCTGGGGTAGTTTCTAGGTTAAACTCAGCTACAGGTACACCACGCCGAGCAACCTTACAATAGGGGAATACATTTTCAAAAATCCTCCGGAGAATATATTTCCGAAAATTCCCCCCCCCCCTGCTGGCGGTTTTATTGATAACAAAACTATCCCCTCAACATCCAAAAAGATTTTTTAATAGATGCACAAGAAATCCCCCCCCCCCTCCACATCAAACATTCTCCTTGATTATCCTCCTTAATTAAAAACGAATTACTTTTTTATTATTCATGAAATGACAAGTCTGAGATATTTTCTTTATAAATTGGACTAATGATCAATTGAACTAATATTCGTTGGGACGTTAAAGTTTTTAAGGACTATAGCTCAATAGAAAACCACGTGGAATAAATGACCATGACAATTAAATAAAAAGATAAAAACTAAAAATGAACATTTTCTTCTTTTATAATTTTTGGGTTAGATAATAGAGAACGTTACGACAATTTCTATGCTGAGCGCTGTGGCTAGGGCAGGCTGACCTGTGGCGCAAACATGGCGGCTGGATACACAACACTAGATGTTCCAACTACTAGACACAGATCACAGCTCTCCAGTTCTTCATAGGATCTAGCTATACAATACACATTTCATTATTATAGTTATCATTATCGTTATTATTATAATTATCGTTATCGTTATTATTTTTGTTATCATTATTATTATTATCGTCATTGTTATTCTTATCAGTATCAATATCAAGGTTATTAACATTATCAAAATTTAATACTATAAAGTAGTATTTTCTGTTTGTATATCCGATCAGGAACCCGAAACCAATTTTCTTCGAATTTTGTCAAGGAAACTCGTAATAACCACAGAAATATTCTAAGGCTTGGTTACACATTTTAAGTTGAGCGGGTTAACCTTATATAGAAAAAAAACTTAGTTTTCAGGCAAAGCTGAGTTCCCAAGCTAGTAAATCAAGCAAGCTTTAATTCTTGCACGTAATTAAATACTAATTTACCTAAAATGTTTTCGTCCAACCCCTCTCCAAACCAAACAACATGAGGTCTAGGACAAAGAAATAGGAATTTAATGTTTTTTTAGAGAAATTTAAAAAAAAACAAATTGGTGCTCATTTATCACATAGCTAAGTGATTTCTCTACTACAGGAAAACAAATACCATAAATACTATAATATCTTAAACATGATTGGTCAGAAAATGGTTTCAAAGGTATGGTTGCGAATCGGGCATTGCCATCTTAGCATAGAGGGTCGCTTGAAATTAACCTCTTAAGTACCTTTAAGACGTCATAAAGTCGACTTTTGCCAGAGAAGTTTTCATCAATATAATAATCTTTTATGGATTTATGATTTAAAAACATTTTCCTTATTTGCAAAATATTTCAAAATCAAGGCACAAAGCACATTTGAATGAGGGGGTGGCTCTGATTGTAAGGAAAAGAAAGGGTGTTTCCTAAAAAGAAGGAAGGGGAGCAAATAGATAGTACAATGAAGGAAGGAAGGATGAGGGGACCTACCTGAGAAGACCTCCACAACCATTATGTGAACATCTAGGTAGAAGGTTGACCGGGATATTTGCTCCTCCAGCCCCGGGCTCAGGGGTACCTAAACACAAATAAAATTAAATCTAATGATTTTTTATTTTTCATAATAATTTCAAATCATTTCCAGAATTTTTTACCTTTAAAAAACATTTCTAATGTAACTAGGGTTTTCAGCAAACGAAAACTTATGTGAACGAAAATTTCGTTCGTATTTCGCAAACTTTCTCGCGAAATTTCTCTGCACTGAGAGCTCAGCATTAGAGGTTTTATTATATCATAATCAATAATTTCCCAATATTTTCCTAAACATTTTCGCATTTTTTTCTCGCAAAATATTCTCATTTTTTCACAAAATTTTCGCATTTCTTATTTCGCAAAAATCGTGGCAGATTACAGCAAAATTTAGCGAAAGTTTTCACAATTTTCTAGCAAGAACGAAATGCAAAAAAGCGAAATTTTCGTCGAATTTTTTTTTTGCGAAACAATTTTTTCTTTTCGCTAGAAACCCTATTTAAAACTAGGCGATCTATTTCAATTGTTAACGTTTTCTATTTGAATATATTGTGACAAAAAAAAACAACAAAAAAGTTCGCAGATGTTATAGAAAATTTGTTGTGGTATTTGTTAAAGGCTAAAATTTAAACTTTTGATCATCCATAACCCTTCCCTGGGGCAATGTGAGTAACCACAAAAATTGGGCCCGATCGGTTAGGCCGTTTTTACGTTTATAAGATTCAAACAAACAAACACGACAGACAGACGAGCAAAATTTGTATATAGGTTTTACAATAAACTTATATTTTTTATTTTAATTTATTTGATTTTTTTATCATTCCGTCCTTCGAATCCTTTAAGAAAGTACCTTTGTCTCTAAGAGCTTCACAAATGGGACTTTCATAATTGGATTCCACGTGATGACATTTAGTACACCTAAGTGAGAAAAAAAGTTATTTGTATTTTTATTTTGCCCCTTTCCCCTTAGGAGCTCTTAGGATGGGACAAAATATGAACTGTAAATTCAAAACAATTGGCTTCTTGGATACCAGGCATAAGAAAAAGATACTTTAAAGGTACACATACAGTCCAATTACTTTGCAAGTACTACTTTATCTTTCCTTCTAACAAAACTAGCAGAAAACAACATGACTTCTAAAAAATCGACACTTTATTATATTGTTATATTAGTATTTAAACAAGAGATAGTAAAACACATTTTTGAAGATGAAAAACCTGACTTAAACTTGAATTCTATGAGATTACAACAAGGACTAAGGTCCAGAAAGTAGGAGTACAATTGTAATCTGTATAATAAAGCTCTTCGTTCATTTATATGTGTGATAGCTCTGAGTTCTGGGGGGGGGAACTGCCCCCTTGCCCCCCCCTGAATACGCCCTTGCTGATCAAGGATTAATGAGATTTTCCTATTTGTCTCGGTAAAACTTGATAATTCCTTACAAGTGATGTGAAAAATAAAAACAATATAGTTCTACCTTTTACCTACTAACTAGTCATTACTCAGATAATGCGTTAAAGTAACAAAAATTATTTCTCAAATAGAGAATTAAAGGGAATTGGACATACCAGGTAAACTGCATTTTCATCATTCATAATTTTCTACGTGAGGCAAAACATTCCCAAAAAGCAAACTTTAAAAAAAGAAATTTTTCTTTATTTTCACAAAAACAACAAAAATGGAAAAACTACCTAGTCTTGAAAAGAGAGCCGTGAAGTTCTATTACATCAGTACTGCCTTAATAAAAAATGAGATTAAAAATATGTTTCTGCCAAGTAAGAGGACTTTAAGCAATAATTTAGGTTAATAACGCTTACCTGCTTTTTGATGAAGTTCATCTATATTCTGAGTTATTACTGATACTTTCCTGAATTATTTAAAGTCATAATTTTCCTCAAATAATCCTATAAGGAATTACAAATATTGAAAGTTCACAATTCTGAACAATCTCTCCAACTAAAGTTTACAAAAGAGGAAAAAAGGAATTTAAGAGCCCTTGCACAATTTTCAAAAGCAATCTAGTTTATTGAGTAGTTTTGTCAGCATTAGTTACCTATTCTGTTTAGCAGCATTGTGCTGACAAGCAGCTATAGCTTGATGTGCAGGATTGGGTAGCTTTGTCAGCATTTAATACCTATTCTGTTTAGCAGCATTGTGCTGACAAGCAGCTATATGACTGTAAAAAGGGTCTGTTTACACTGCACAACTGCTGTATGTGATGCTCATTGGACAACTCTAAAGTCATAATTTGAGTCTAAAAGTAGTCTTCCTATTCCCGAGTTTTCTGGTTATCACTGTAAATGTCTGAAAGATAAAAATGAATGAGTTTTGGCTACAAGTAACACATGTTTAATCTAAACTTAGATAGACTTAAGAATATGAGTTATTTAAAAAAGGAGGTTTCTTGAATTTACAAATCATCTTCAAAATTTCGTACTTAGAGAGATACGGCGGAACCAAAGCTTAAGATCAACTTATCACGTGTAATTGATCTGTACACACTGCACAATTGCTTTGTTTTATGTAAAATATACTATTTAAGTCGATAAATCGTCTACGTATTTCACAGTTTTATGTTCCCACTCTACCTAGAGAAGGATCAGTGGAGAATGCCTGTGGAGTTGCTAAATCTGGAGCACTGTATGTTCTCCAGTACCCTCCATTACCCCTGTACATACACATGTACAAAATATATATAGCTGTATGTTCTCCACTCTCCAGTACCCTCCAGCACCCCTGTATATACACATGTACATAATATAAATAGCTGTATGTTTCCAGTACCCTCCAGCACCCCTGTACATACACATGTACAAAATATATATAACTGTATGTTCTCCAGTACCCTCCAGCACCCCTGTACATATATAACTGTATGTTCTCCAGTACCCTTGTACATACACCTGTACATAATATACAACTGTATTATGTTCTCCAGTACACTCAAGCACCCATATACAAACACATGTACATAATATATATAACTGTATGTTCTCCAGTAGCCTCCAGCACCCCTGTACATACACATCTACATATAATTTATAACTACAAGCACCCATGTACAATTGTACAGTGTAAATAATATGTACATGTGCACAATATGTCATTTAATCCAACTGTTAAAAATATAACAATGTTGCAAAACTTAAAATTCGACTTTAAAAAACTCTTTTAATTCACAGAATGTTATTTTATTTTGTACATGTACGAATGGAGCAGTTAGTACATAATAACGTGACCCCTAAGAAGTTTGCACCCAGTCAGGATTGAAAAAATGGCAAATGTTACAACATTTAAATTAATATTTTCTTATTCAATGATGAAAATTGTGGCAAGCACAAGTTTTGAATATTGCACCTGAATGTAGGAACTCCAGATTCTGCAGATACTCCAGCCCCCGTTAATATCACCAGATGTTTGCTTTCCTTAGCGAGAGATAATAAATGGAATTTTAAGTCATCATGCTGGATTCACAACGGTACTCAATTTAAAAATTTGTCCTATCAACGATGAATGAGATATTCAATCGAACTATTTAATGTAACATAAAATAATATTTTTTATTTGCCGTTATTTTTACGATCTACTTCGGCCTGTTCTATTCACATCTGTACACTGTAAACCTTTCTCTTATTAGCGAGGAGTTTGTTTATACGGCGTAAAATTGATTATTCTTAAATTGCAGATTTTCTATAGGAGTAATTTATAGATCTATAAAACAGAAAAGAATGAATTTAACATTGTTAAGATAAAGCACGACGGTTTCTTCCTCACAGTAGTTCAGATAGAGGGTTTAAGGATATCACTGTGAATTGGACATACCAGTCTAATCTATAAATAGGGGTCATTTAAATTTTGTGTTATTGAATTTTAAACAAAAAATTTAGGACATTTTACTATTTCTAAGACGAAAATAATGTTTAGAACATTTTTTTATTGATTAAACATTCTGCTTATTGCTAAGCGTAAACTAATTTGCGGATTTATAATGCAAAAAAACGACCATATCGTCGTCCAATGCTACACAGAAGCCACTCTGTAAAATAAAGTTCATATTAAATAAGTCTCATTGACGGAATAGCCTACCTTAACCTTCTGTTTGAATTTAGCTAAATCTGAGCTTGGTCTAGACATGTTCACAATAGTATCAGATTTGAACGCAAACTAATAACAATAATTAATTTTTTGCGTTTGATTGAAAAAATCTAAATTAAGAAAACACATGAGTTTTATTTTAAACTATACTTACATCTAAATTAAGAAAACACATTAAATGTTCTTATGAAAAATCTTAAATTTTAAGATAAGAACAATTAATCTAACTTACACTTAAATTTATGTCCCTTGAGTATCTTACTTGATGAACATAACATTTTCCAGTCTGAAAATTTATTTTTACATTTTTATTTAATGTTTACAAAAACTCTCAACTTCACAATAATAGATTTTAATTTTAAAGTACACATACGTGATAAAAACATTAATAAAAAAAATTAACTATTTTTTATATTTTTTTTTCAAGGATTTAAAGGATTTCATTAATCCAGCCTCATCGCCTCGAGCGAGTGTTAATTTAAAGGGACTGTTTATAAAATAAAGAGCGTGTTCAAGAAAAGGGATTGCTCATAAATTAAAGGGTGTGTTCATGTAGTAAAGGGACTGCTCATGCATTAAAGGCTGTGTTCATGTATAAAAGGAACTGCTCATAAATTAAAGGGTGTGTTCATGTAGTAAAGGGACTGTTCATGTATTAAAGGGACTGCTCATAAATTAAAGGATGTGTTCATGTATTAAAGAGACTGCTCTAGAATTAAAGGGTGTGTTCATGTAGTAAAGGGGTTGCTCTAGAATTAAAGGGTGTGTTCATGTAGTAAAGGGATTGCTCTAGAATTAAAGGGTGTGCTAATGTAGTACTACAGTCGAGCATGATGACCTCGTCCTCCACGAGGTTCTGAAACTGGGCCTCGACCTCCAGCCTCTAGTCGAGCATGATGACCTCGTCCTCGTCTAAGTTCTGGAGCTGGGCTTCGAACTCTTCCATCTCCTTGTCCAGCTGGTTAGGAATCTACACAATAAGCAAATAATGAAGCAAATAATGAATTAGAAAACTTTAGGGAAGAATGTTGTCGAAAAAAACTGTAAAATTAATTTTTTCAAAAACTTGATTTTTTTTCCAAACAAGGCTCTTTCAGTTTACCCGGCCCTAATTCAGTACAAATTCAATCTAAAATAAGAACTAATCAATCAACCAGTCAATATACCGATAAATCAACCTATCTAATCAGTCAATACCAATGAACTAATCAACCAATTATAATTTCCTCGACTCGTGAAAAAAAGCTACCTTTCTGGAGAGGATCGTAGGTAGTCCACTGAAATAGAAAATTAAGCTGAGTTAAGTCAAGTGTAAAAGAATTTAATTTTTATTTTAAAATTAATATTTGATTGAGAATTTTTTTGGTACCTCTTCCTCTACAAGCTTAGCTTTGTGTTTCTTTCCTTCGTAATGTACAACAACATTCCGCAATCCAAACAAGGTAGCTCCGCAGACAGTACACCTGTACATAACAAATATTAACAATTGTACAACTACATTCCGCAATCCAAACAGGGTAGCTCCGCAATCAGTACACCTGTACATAACAAATATTAACAATTGTACAACTACATTCCGCAATCCAAACAGGGTAGCTCCGCAATCAGTACACCTGTACATAACAAATATTAACAATTGTACAACTACATTCCGCAATCCAAACAGGGTAGCTCCGCAATCAGTACACCTGTACATAACAAATATTAACAATTGTACAACTACATTCCGCAATCCAAACAGGGTAGCTCCGCAATCAGTACACCTGTACATAACAAATATTAACAATTGTACAACTACATTCCGCAATCCAAACAGGGTAGCTCCGCAATCAGTACACCTGTACATAACAANGTTGTCATCGCCCTCCAGGAAGAGAGCCTTCTTCTCCTCCCCCCGTCTCACCCAGCTGTTTATCTGCTCATCATTGTACTTCAACCCCAGGTTCTCACTGGAATATAAACCAATCAAATCAATCAATCAAACACGAACAATCAAAAATTCATTAGTTATTATATTAATTAATTAATTTATCAGCCAAAAAATAAGTCAACCCCAATTTCTCATACTTGATATTTTAAAATTTCGAAGCATACACAAAATTCAATTAATCATTTATTTTATTGATCATTTAATCTACTAGTATTTTACTAACATCAAAATCTCTCAATCAATCAAAAACTTAATGAATGTGTCATCTATTATTCATTCGTTCAATGATTAACCAATTAATCAATGATTAACCAATCAATCAATGATTAATCAATCAATCAATGATTAACCAATCAATCATTAATCAATCAATCAATAATTAACCAATCAATCAATGATTAACCAATCAATCAATGATTAACCAATCAATCAATGATTAATTAATCAATGAATAACAAATCAATCAATGATTAACCAATCAATCAATGATTAAACAATCAATCAATGATTAATCAATCAATGAAAAACAAATCAATCGATCATTATCCAATCAATCAATGATAAACCAACCTTCCGTCTGGATTGAGATTTGATGTGTCAGGCTGGACCTTCTCTACCTTCTCTACAGGACGTTCTTCTTTTCTCTGTACAGAGGAAGAAAAATTGTAAATTAAAAAAACTTAATTGTTGTGCTTTTCCTCACTAGATTTTAATTTACTATAAAATTGGTGTGAAAAATTTTAAATTAAAATTTTTTATATTAATTAAGTTCGTCAAAAAAAAACATAAATTGAACAGATGAGTTTCTTTATAAATGGACTGTCAATGTAATTGCATTTGCAAGCGATTATCCGTTTAAATTTATATGATCGATTTACAGTGGTAAACAGTTTTTGAGCAACATTGAAGAAGAAATAGTCGTTTTTCTATCTAAAATTGAAATCTGTACATTTCATTGTTAGTATTTGGTCCATAAATTCACATGTCACTATTTAAGAGAACCCACAGTTGAAGTTCACCAATTTTCAGAAAGAAAAACAAGGATATTAAAAACACAAAAAAAATAAAAGTCTTCAAGAATTTTTGTTTAATTTTGTACTCCCCTGTTTACTGGATCCAGCTGTGCTAGAAGAATCCGGTTCAACCTGGGTTCCCTACATTTTTTTATCATTTAGTTAAATTGAAAAGTTTTCGATAATTTGCGGTTTTAAGGCTAAATAATTCTCTGAAAATAATAAAATAAAACTCCGTTTACCCTTTTCCGCTTTCTCCTTTCATCAGCTAGACGGTCTAACTCTTCATTCAGTGCCTTCTCGTTCTCCGCATCACGAGTATCTCGTGCATCACGGGTGCTACGACCTGAGCTACGTCTTTTCTCACTTCGCTCCTTCTCCCGACTACCTTCTCGACCCCGCCGCCGTTCACCTCGGAATTGCCTAGAAATTCAAATTTGTAAATAATTTTATATTAGATCCATCCAAGCACTTTAAATAAACCGCATGTTAATGTTTTGTACTCAAAAAGAAATTAAGCACAAAACTGTGTCTGCCGTGAAAATGCTTTGGGAAATTTAAAAAAAACAACATATAAATGATTATACATATTTACCACTTTCTGTGTAACAATATAATAACAATAATAATTATAAGTATTCTTTGTAAAGTACTTTGTAAATTGAACTACAAAACGTGTACTGTGTGAAGTGTATTGTACTGTGTAAAGTTAGTACTTAATAAGGTGTACTGCGTACTGTGTACCTGTAAAAATAAACACAAATCGCTGTCAAAATCTTTTACGCCATATTTTCCATTTTAAACTGAAAAAATATTCCTTCAGACACTAAAAGACACAAATGAAAAATGATAATATATACAAGTACAATTGAGCAAACAAAAATTGTGTGAAATTTCTGCTTAAATTTAAATTCTGTAAACATTTTTAAAGTGATCTATGCTATTTAAAGCTTCTGTATGGACCAGGCGCTGTGGCTTTCTGTTTGGACCGAATGCTGCAGTTTTTTAAATGTAAATTTTTGAATAATATTTTGATGAGCATCAACTCATTGGTGCTTGTTCAATAAAAAGAAATAAATGCAAAAAAAAATTTCCTGATAATTTTTTGAAATAACATATTTTTAAATTAAAGTTTAGGTTTTGAGAGGAAATGGTTATTTTAAACAGTTTTGGGTTAATAACGTCCTCCGTGGCTCTGAATAATTTTTGGGATCAGGATCCAGGAATTTTGAAATGCTGCGGATCCAACGGATCCGGATCCAGTAAGCTTGAACTGGAATTATGTATTTCTTTTTCTTTTTCTATCTTAAGCCTGATCTCATTTCTTTTCTTCAGCCTTTTGAGCAGTCTAGCCCTTGTTCTTGGTTCAGCTTCAAAATTTATACGTTCTGCATGGAAATCTATGATTGTGATAGGAAACTCCGCCTCTAGTGCATCCTTCAATTTGTTGAAATTCTCCTGGTTCATGACCCGGAATGTTTTCGCCCGAGGCAACTGTCCTCCCCTATAGTATATAGGTGCTTCTATCCATCTAATCAACACCCCAGGGTCGCTTCTTGCCAGATCTCTTAATGTTTCTCCTTTACTACATTTTTGAATCTCAGAGAAGAGTAAACACCGTCTCCAGAAGGATTTTTTATTTGCTGTATGAATAGTAAATTTTTTGGGTAAAACTATGAGGTATGGTTCACCGGAGGCGCGGAGTTCAGCGAGCTCCTCTTCCGTTAGATCATCGTACAGATTACCATTCAACACTTTGTTTTTTAACCATTTTTCATTGATTAACTTTCCAGCTGACTCTTCTGTATTGATGTCCTTAGCTTCAGTGATATCATTAGCACTGGACTCCTCTTCAGTGATGTCCTTGGCAGCCGTCTCTCCTTTGTTCAAATCCTTGGCGACTGCCTGTTCTTTATTCGTGTTATGGACAGTTGATAGTCTTTCTATATTCTTCTTGGCTCTGTCCATACATGGGCAATTTTCGATACCATAAATGCATTCGTCCATTTTTTTCCTAAGTTGAAAACGCCTGTTCACCATTTTCATCTTATTCCTTGCTGCTTTTTTAAACGAAAGCTGTGTGTAGTCTGATGGTTTAGAAGTTAAAATGCTTGGAAATGCATTTTCTATCATTTGTTTCAGTTTACATACATGAGCATACTGTTCAAAACGAAAATGTTTTGGCGTTTGTTCCTCCCCTGGAGACGGCATCATTTTTAGCCATCGGAGCGCAAACCCAGGATCAGATATAATTGCGGCATCCAGCAAAGTCCATGCGCTTTCAACATCTTCTGATAGCTTACCGAGAATCTCAGAGAAGATCATACATTTTTTCCAATCTCCATCAGTATTATTTGTAAATAAAACCCCTTCC